GTTTTCTAAGAATAAAATGTACATTTCGTGATCAATTATGCACTCTTTTGTTAATTTTCTACAAAATGTGGCCTAAATAAGTAAAACCTCTATCAAGCGGTCAACCTCTATTAAGCGGTCACTTGGCTAAGTCCCGTGGGTGACCGCTTAATAGAGGTTCGACTGTATAAGTTATCCGAATCAAAACATTTCTTCTACGAAATGATGCCTAAGTACAGTATATAGTACTAAACATGTACATATGATATAAACTATGATACCCAAGTACAATATACTCAGTCTAATCTTTAAGTATTTTTTCAGTGGCTGTTTTTAAAGGTGATACTGTCCCCTTTCTTTTATAAAGTCAATCCCAGAGCAACTTCCCTACAACTGTGGTATACAACCCCCCTGGCGTCTGTCGTAGGCGAGTTGTAGGCTTGATTTTCACGCTACAAGTTGAGTTGTAGGATGGAGCGAGGTTGTTGTATACAACAGTTGTAGGCGAAAATCGTACCGTCTAAACTGGCCTTTATATTTCTAAGCATACATGAAAAAAGAAGAAGTATGAGGCTTCAGGGAAATATCGTTTTGCTTCTTTAGGGTCTCATTTCTACCTGTATCACTCAACAAAAATCATCAAAAGCCATTAATTTTACTTTTAAGTTTCCATCACATAACAATACATCATATTCTACATTGTAATGTACAACTTTCATTTCAGTTTAAGATAAATTATAGTAATAGTTATTTATCGAAGAATAAAAATAAACTTGTGCAAATCGGGGACGTTTTTAGCAGAATTATATAGGTGCAGTCTAATAATCAATCACAAAGTGTACAATAAAATGACAACACGCTTGTTAGACCTGCAGCATATTATTTCATTTGAATTTCCCTTTTTAAATACTTAGGCTCTGACAAACGGCTCCAACATTTGTCCCAAGATTAACTAATTGATTGCTAATCAAGTTAAAGCACCGTAACAGGGACTTTGTTTTTTGGTTCAATATAAAAGGAAAATTTCTATCACTAAACCTTCAAATGCTGCTACAGCATTTTATCTTATTAAAGGCCTATGTTCGCTCTGTCAATCCCTTCAAAATAGATCTAAAATACATGTACCAAGTGTAGATCCATAATTAAATATCCATACGCAATACCCCTACTATGGAGGAATTTGTAAAGGGGCCCCCATACCCCCAATTTTCTTCCATAAATACTCTAATAATTTGTTCTTTCTTTGACCCCCCCCTCCCCTCCAAAATTTCCAATTTCCTCCGTAGGTGGGGCATGGATATTTTCTGGGACTACATAATTATTAGAAAATAAAAGGAAGAGATCAAGGAGATAGCATTTCATATACCCAGCCATTGGTTCCTAATTTAGTTAGTTTGCTATCAATCTCCTCATTGGGAATGAGTTTACGGAATCGTATTCTATTATGAAGTCTGCTTGTTTGTCCATTCCAGAATTCTATACTTTCTGGTCTAACTAGGAAACCACCCCTAGAAAATAAAACAAAAATGAAATCAAAACTTGAGCAAACTTCAAATTACTGATACTCTGCAGCAACAATAATGAGAATGAGAATCTGTAGATCACTATAAGTGCTTTGCACTAGGGTCCTAAAACAATATAAATATAAAATATATGAAACAAATAAAACTATAAACTATAACTTAAAGCTATAAAACTATATATGCGGCAGGTAGAAAAAAATACAAGAAAATATAGACAATGCAATCTTAAAATTTAAAAAAATTAATAAATGACTTTAGACCCTAATCCTTAACTTATAGCCTTAATGCAAATCCCCCTCGCCTTCCCTATCCCCCTAAGAAAAGAGCTATTATATGAAAAAATCTAATTAAAATTCATTAAAAAAAGTTTCTTAAAGTCTTTAAGCTTTAAAAAATCTAAAATGAAAATGAAATTGATATGGGAGGTGCAACATAGTAACTTGTAGACTAACTATTTAGGAACTTAGACTTATCTTTCACACAAAAAGGAGCTTTTATGGTCCTGAACTTGCGTGTGTGTGAGGAGAGGAGGGGATATGTTAGCCCTTATAAAGCCTCTACACTATCACATGATGGCAGCCATGACAGGAGGGAGGAATGATTGGATCTGGTCTAATCTGATTTACACAAGAGAATTTAGTTTCCCTGGGGAGAAAGACTCTATTGTAGGTTGTGCCTCCTGTCATGGCTGCCATCACTTGATGGTGCAAAGCCTCTATACCTTTGCCTATGCTCCTGGTCAGGACCTTGCTAGCTCACAGGTTGAATTTGAACATAGCCTAATTGATTGTTGATTGACTTTTGTTTTGTTTGTTGTTGTTTTGAGCTTACCAATAATCTGGTTTGGGAACAGGAATACTTTCATCTGCATATCGTTCTTTCAAAACCTTTTCTCTTTCACTAAGAACCTGTGAAACGTAACAGAGAACAAACAATATCCTGCTGGGCCCAAATAAGTAAAAAAATGCAACTTTATCTGAAACTTTTTGCACCATAAATATGATGTCATTTTATTTCTTGCCAAAAACGTTGAGATCAAAAAAATATATATATATATATATATAAGAATTTTTGGAACTCTCAGTTAAATGACTTATCATGTTAAATTCTATCACACAATATCATGGATTGGCTGTAGGCTCTCATCCAATCAGAAGCAAGATAGTGAGTAAAATGTAGAACATGTTTAATTTGACTTGATCCTACCATTCCTCCCCCCCCCCCTCCCGCCCTAAAAATGTTTACTTATACTCACCTCTCTTGAAGGGATGACAGTGCTTTGTCTGCTGATACAGGCTCCTATCTGACTGCCTCTTGGCCTAGAATGAAAATATTCAGTAGCCTCTTCATCAGATACTTTTTCAGCTGTGCCTTTAATGATAACCTGACAAGATAAAGATAAACTGTTTAGTCAAATCCAACTAATGGTCTATCATCAATGCTGCATTCTGATTGGATGAACTACTACTAGGCTATAAGTTATATCCTACTAATAGCGAAAAGTGTCAGCTTTGAAAAATCAAAACATTACATTCAACTCAAGTTTGAAACTTGTTTGCATCTATATCTTTGACTGACTAGTTGGATTTGACTAAAACAATTAGTCCTCTAGCCCTCATGGGCTATGGCCTATGAGTTAATAGCCCATTTTGGCTCAAAGACTAATTGCTAAATAGCAGCCAGCTGCCCTCCCATATTGTTTAGGGCAGCGTCTACTACTATTGACAATGAAGATATTACATGCAGAGGTATGGATTTTATATTCCGTTTGACGTCACCATCATAGATTTTGCAAATCTTGAGTACCCTATCATTTTGTGAGTGAGAAAACCTCATGGAAGCTAGAGTCCCTTATGGGGAGTGATTTTTGTAAACTGTTATTATATTTTTAACTTAATATTTAATCATTGCCTTGAGTACCTGTCTATGTAGTGGTGGCCAGTAGAAAAGCAGGCATGCTTTAGGGTTTTCCATCTGAGGGGAAAAAGGCTTATTATTAGAAGCCATATAGAATGACAGTTTGGCTCAATATGGCAACTATACAAATTTGGATGATCGGACACCTTTACGACCCCCACCTGGTTTTTTCCCCTACCCTCCCCCCCCCCCCCCCCATCCCAAGCCATTACAGGACAAATAAATTTAAAAATACTTATCCCCCCTTTTATTTGAGAGTCCCTAAGTGCTGCCTGAAAATGTTGCTAAATGGCAGTAGTATCCTGAGGAAAAACTGGGCTAGGGAGTTTTGTCTGTTACCCCACTTGTTCCTCATTCCTTGCTCCTTCAAGGAATAAAATGGAGAGTGCAGTGACCCAGTAACCAACAAAAATAGAGAGACTATTTATTATCAAATTTGTCTAACATCAAAAGGGATGGTGTGAATGGTGTGGACATCGTATACTTAAACATTAGCCTAGCGAGATTCGCTAATGAGTTACAGACCAATGAAAAGGGATGTGTTTCTTTCAACTGAAGGGACACAACACACAAATTAATCACCAAGGTTTTCGATATGCTGCGAACTCAGACATTTCAATGGCTTGATGTGAAATTTTTTTTTACTTTCACCAGTCAAGAACATAAAATGTACCCGGCTGATTATTTTTGATTGATGGCAGCGAAAAACCAAATTTCAGCGTGCAGTTCTTCACATACTATCGAAAACCGCAGTAATAATAAATACAATTATAAAACCTATAACACCAAGGTCAAGCATTATATAAAAGGAATTATATGCCCCAATAAATAAAAATGATTTGATATTTTCATACCAGTTGTTTTCCTTTGGTACTTGTAAAATTTGTGAAAAATGTAAATCCTTGATCATCATAATTTTTCATCAAAACTGTTCGAGCAGACGGCTGTCCATCACTGAAAGTAACAAGATGATGTACGTCAATAATGCAGATAACAGAGGGGGGCTGCATAAATGCTCACAAAAATATTGAACAAGCACTTCATCTAAGTACAAAAAAAATACCGCACAAACTCTCCTTTCAGTGAAGAAATATCAAGCAAACACAAAAAATTGCTTGCAGGAGTTGTTACAAAAAAATATCGCACAACATAAATTTCTGCAGCCACAGCCACCCCCCCCCCCCTCTCAATTATCTAATGGTCCATCTCTAGAGGTACTGTTATTTATATTTGTGATCCCATGTGTCTTTTTTTCTCTCGCTTTATCATCTATTTTATCCCAAAATGTTGGTCCTATTCTCGGGAACCCAGGGGTAAAATTCTGTCGCTCGTTGCGACAGGATTTTAACCCTACTTTCCCGAGGAGTTTTGGTCCCAACTCTCGTGACAAATAGAAAAGAACTCCGATCACATACAAATATTTAGAAACATATTCAAGTACTGGTTTACGAGCTACATAGAATCAAGATATTAACCTACCTTCCACACGTCGACAGAACCATAGCATTAGCCTCTTGGATATCCTTTGATTCACGGGCCATCTTAAACCACACATCGAATTGTTTCATTGGTTCTTTTGCTACAAGATCGTCCTCGCTGAACCCCTCGGTCTTGTAGTCGATTCTCATGGACGCGACCTCTTCTTTTCGTAACATGATTTGTTGAGTCGAAAAGTTACGCAGAAACAAACTTGACACAGACCTAAATGAGTAAAAACTTCTCATCAGTCGAGGGGTTAAGGATATTTGAAATAAAATGGTATTGGTTACGTAAAGTTATGCAACAGCGAGCTAGATTAGAATAATTATTTTTTAAATAAAGCTTAGGGGAGGGGTAGGTAGGATTTGAATTTGTCACAAGCAAATATCGTCAACCATGGCGGATCTATGCATATAAAAACATAACACTTACATAATCTTTCTAACAATCTTTAAAAAAACAGCCTTACTTAGTTTCTATGGCTTAGAAATGCTTAGATGTAAAGACGGTAAAGACAAAAAGTGGAGTTTATTAGGGGGAGGGGGACAGAAGACTAGCGTCATATCGGCCTTGAATCACTCCGAGAGTAGTCCGAGCGCTAGAGTGATCAAATTTTCCAAATCGCTGTTTTTGAGAGGTTCATGCATTCAGACGGATGCTTATCTTTGTTTGCTAGTTTGGAGGGCAATTCATAAATATAGATTTTGTAGATGGGTAAAATATTTTTTGTCAAAGCAAACGTGTGAGTGATCCGAGGACTTTTGCTCATCTGCATGTATTAAAAATAAAAGGTTGAAAGATCTGCTACGCCAAGAATATCTTCTTTCTATTCTTCTATTGCACGTTACGTCATCGCGGCCATGTTGGTGCCATTTAACAAAAGATTTCTCATTAGCATCCACCGGTTAACGGCACCACAATGGCCGCCATGTTTTTGTCTTTTGACTCTCTTGGGATTGCTTGCAACCCATCAATAAGGCTCAAGAAAAGAAGATACGTACTTACCCGATTCGTAGGTAATTTTTTCAAACTTCGAAGATAATGCTTTTCAAACTACTATCATATGCGTTGGTTGATCGTGGATCGAATCTGCTTGCAGTGGACGATGCATGGTATAAGAAAACTTGCAACACAGGGAGCCCAATTTTGACTTCAAAGGCGGAACAGTCTGCAAAAACGCTAGCGCATGAGAGGAAAGCGTGCGATTCTGCATTTCTAGTGGTTTGGGGTTACAAGAGAAAGTCGAAGTTTAAGGGGGAAGTAAAGAATTAAACCGAACTTGCTGTCGTCCTAACAAGATAGAAAATCGCGGTAAATCGCTCAGTGTCTTTGCTAAAATGCAATTGGAGAAACAATTTCAATAAACTAGTTTTATTGTACAATTATAAATTCTTTGTTTATATAAAGTATTTATTATTAACTGATTCAAAACTTTTTACTCATTGTGGGTTTTCTTTTAATAGATAATTCTCCTAAGAAATTTGTTTCTGATCAATGCTGAAGAAAATTATTAAATTCTCATATGAAAAAGGTCTCACCCTGCTACATAACTTAAAAAGAATAACTGCGTTTTTCGTTATCGCCTGCGGACTCAGATATTTCTGACAAAATCATGCGTGCCAGTGGCGGATCCAGGATTTTTCAAAGGGGAGTTCGGTTTCTTAAACTGTGTATAATTCTCTTTTGTTTAGTCGATGTTTGACAAAAAAGTGGCTCTAATCACCTAATTTACTATCTAGTAACGGAACTTATAAAGGTAAATTAAACATTATAACAGCAAATATCTCAGTATCATTTCGTGTTCAACATTATCTTTGTGGATACTTTTAAGCAAAATTTATATAAGACATATTTCTATTACCTAAAAAATCAAACCTTCAAGGGGGGGTTCCCCTTCATTTTCATGTTCAGTCAAGAACATGAAAATTTACCGGCTGAATATTTTGGACTGATGGTAGCGAAAAAACAAATATCAGCATGGAGCTCGCAACTACCGAGTTCGCAGAATTTGGAAAACTGCAGCAATCCATTTGAAGATTATCTCGATCATACGACCAAGGGATCTTCAAACGCATGCGCGCAGTGAACTGAAACAACTTGGATGTGACGTCATTCAAAAACGTGCATCCAAAAATACCATCAAAGTCTGGTTCAATGTGATCAGGAAGTTCTTTACGTTGAACGAGTAAAATTCTTCGCCTGTCATTCCTACCACGATGGCACCATTTTACTATAACTACCAAAGTGCTTTGCGAAGCTGATTTGCCTTGCGTGGAGCAAGGCATGCCCATAAAGCTTTCAAGTTGTGACGTGTTTCCGGGTCAAATTGCTCTGACCCGAGAGTCATTTTGCTATACGACTGGAAGTACGTTTAACTTATGACTGGCATCTGAAAAAAAGCCAAGCCAGGGCGCTGGATTTTTCCGTTCGGGAAATAAAAACTGAGCTTTTTTATGCAAATTAAAGAAACAGAATATTCATCCCTCTCAAACAGCAGCAACAAAAACTCAACATGATATGTTGTTCAGTCATTTTTTTTGGTCATTAAAGTACAAAAACTGTATTCATGAARCAGTACTAGTACTATAGTATGTCAGAGCCCTCGTTCTCCGCCGCAGGCCAGAAAAAACGCAGGCTCTGGATACGAGATTGCATACCTATCCAAAACAACGGTTATTGTAATTTGTATTTTATAAAAGAAATAAAACGACTCGTTTGTTGCGTTATAAAAAACTTCGTCATTGGCAGTACACTCGTTAAGTGTCCAGAAGCACTCCGTTACGCATAGTGCTTCCCAACCCCCGCGTGCTTTATGACTGCACACAGTACGCGCGCGCGTTTTTAATTTAATACACTACCTGTTTCACGGTTAAAAATAGAGATAATATTTTTTCTAAAGAAAGCGAGTACGAAAGCACGTATTATGCGCCCGTAGAAAGGATAAAAAGTTTTGGACGTTCCCACGCGTGACAAAAGGTGGTACATTCATTTATTATGTATGTTGAATGGTTCTTTAAAAGCATTTTGAGTTGACCTCTAGCTAGGACAAAATAGTTTTCCATTCAGACCACGTGTCATTCTCTTTAGAAAAAGATTCTTCGTTAGAGTTCAAAGTCTCCAGAGAATTTGGCTTGTTTGTTTGAGTAACAACCGTCAAACAAAGAAATGATACTCAAGAGAATGGCACCTTGTTTTAAATAGAAAACATTACGCCCAAGCTAGACTATGTCTTATGATTTTCTACAGCAGTAGGAATAATTGATCGTGATCAAGACTGCAAGAAGTATATATTACAATAGAATTCTTTAACCTAAAATATCAAACTGGTGATAGACCTAAATGTTTATCTCTACATAAAATTGTGTTCCAAACCTTTGTGATAATGATAGAGTTATAGTGACTCAAAGTATTTGCATTAAAAAAATTAACGAACCCCCGCTTATTCGTTTTCAACCCAAAAGTGAGTTCTGTCCAACAGAGCAAAGTGAGTTAAGGATTATTCTATCAAAAAGAGGGCGTGAAAAGAGGAGAGGTACTTATTAAATTACAAAATGACGAATAGAGCGTTTTTGTACAAGTGGGAAACGTATGGTTAAAGCACAAACACGGTACGACATGCCGTAACCAAACATGGGAGAACCTACACAGCACTCAATTGATGTCTATTGTCGTTCTATTTGTTGTATTAGGCGTGATTGGTTGTGTTTTACGAACACATTAAATCAACTGTTTGCTCGTAGGCTCTCCCAACTAAACATTCAAATGGCTTCCCATTGTCTTCCAGGATTTTTTCCAGTCAAAACTTGAAGTTACGGTCCCGTTAAGATATGGTTCAGATACAGTACGAATAATAATTTGCCGTATCGCTTCCCACTCATAAGAAAACCGCTCTAAAGGCGCACACACCGTGGCCATTTATATGTACCCCTCCCCTACCTCCCCGTGGATCTCCCACCTCTATCGACCCAAAAACAAGAAAATATCGAATAAATTTCAAATTTTGGTTAAAAATTATCTTGCTTTGAATATCAATTGTGCTTTCTTTATAAATTAAGTCGTAAGACTGACATCGTTGCCTTGAGTGCTTACAGCCGTTTACTCGGAAAAACCGAAAATTCCGAATGGAAAGGAAATGATGTGTCATTTAGTTCGGAAAGTTCCGGAAAACTCGGATTTCCGATTGACGCAATCCAATTTTCCCGCTCTTTTCGGTTCTTCCGGTAGACGCGTGTACCATTTGTCGGAAGTAAAAGTTTCCCGCCCTTTTTTTACCATTAGGGAACGAATTTCCAATAAATCGGTTGAATTGGTTTAAATGGCAAGTACCCCTCGTCTTACGAAGCTAATTATGTTTTCAAAGACGAAGGTATATAAACGTGAAAATACGTACGCGTGTATCTTCTACTTCCATTTGGATTTCACATTAAAAATTCTTTTAATTGCTAAGCTGTGGAGTTATGCACAGGTTTAAAATTCTGAGTTATTTCCATGCTATTTCCATCCAGACTGTCTTGACGAGTTGAGTTAAGTGAAGACGGCTCACGTGGCATCATAGTAGCGAGAATAAGAGAGAGACAATCAGCTACTTGGTGGTTAGGAGCGCATGATAGAGCAGGGGTATGGCCGTCTTCGTCCTCTGCAAACACGCTCGAACCACGTGATAACAGTTCCTGGACAACTGGGACCATGCCGTTGCTAGCTGCGAGGTGGAGAGGTCTGAAAGTGAAAGACAGAAATATTGAAATCCTGGAAAAAATACGTCTAATTCAATAAAACAACAAGAGCAACCAGGATACGGAGAAGAAAAAGGTATTTGTTTGTTTTCTTATCCGTATTGTGTGTTTGTTCGTTTGCATGCTTTTTGTTTTATTTGCTTTGATTTTGGTTTGTTTGTTTGTTTGTTCGCTTCTTTTCTGGTTTGTTTTCTTGTTCCTTTTTTGGGAGGGGTTGGGTGGGTTCGGGTTTTTTTCTTCTTCTGTTGATTTGTTTGGTATTATTTTGTTTGTTTGGTTTTGTTTGTTTGCTTGTTT